CTCTACAGATATCTGTCGGTATCTGACACCTTACGCTCGGCACATTATAATCATACCCGCCTTTCAATACTCCTTCGTGAACATCTAATCAATGAGCTAAATCCAATTTGAGGCCATTGATTCTCTACATCTGAACTTACCACCATCTGTGACCAGGATCAGCTGTCTCAGACGAGCTCCGAAAAGTTTGTTAGGTAATGATCCTTAAAATTGGAGCCTCTGGCGTTATTTATGATCACTTCGGCTTTTCAAGCCCGCAAAACTGTAGGCATTAAATAAGCTCTGAACGGAAAATTGGCACTCGATCAAAAAGAGTAAGCACTTATTTTGTGATTCTAGAAAGCAGAGGACGATAATCTGTCATGTTTAGGTGAGGGGTATTCAGCTTATCCGGCTTTCTTAATTGCTGCAGACGAGCGTGGTCGAGGCGGACACTGTTTTTCACTATACTGTGTCAGGAGAACACGATCACCGTGTACTTCAGGGAACTAAGAGTATCAAAGGTGTATGCATGTGCACTACAAAAATTGGCGTTTTTATATTTAGATTTGTCCAGTCACACACTATTACAGCCCGCATTTTTGTTTTAACTACCAATGCCGCCCACTCTACGACCATCGGCTGCCCGGTGCCGGCTGCAGCAATTCCATATCCTCATTATCGTCGCTGCCATCGTCTTTATCTCCTTCCTCATGTGGACCGGCTTCATTAATTTCGCAGTTGCGCCATTTTCAGAAAGGAAGGATCAGTTGTTGTTGGATGGTGCTTTCAAACATATCAGGGTCGTCGCCTCCATCTCCACCTTTGGCGCTCGGTCGAATCGGATTGAAAATACTGTAGAGTCACTATACAAACAATCCAGAAGGCCGGATGTTCTTTACCTTCATGTGCCGAAAGAATTGAAGAGACTTAAGGCTGGCGAGCTTTTGACGCCTATGGTGGTCGAACTTGAGAAGAAGTATGATGGGTGGCTCAAGATTACCAGGCCAGAAGACTATGGACCAAGGTTTTTATGCATATCAACTTTCCTTCTGTTAATGGGATGGAGTTTTGACTAATACTCTTGTTGCTAAGTACGAAATTGTTGGGGACGCTCCTCGTTGAGAAAGATCCAGACACCATTATTATTACAGGTCGGTAATCAGCTTAAGCTCCTCTGCGAGTGGTTTTTCTTTTGCTTTAATTTGCTTTCATCTCTCTCTTGGCTTTTCGTTAACCATTTTGCTGCAATATTTAACTGTTTATGTATAATGACTTTGTATGCAGTCGATGACGACGAAGTATATCATCTGGATATGGTGTTGTCGCTTGTGGAAGCTTCAGAAAAGAATCCTAACAATGCACCATGCTTCATTTGCGAAAAATGGCCCTGGTGGTCATTTAAGCCGATGTATGCACCAACAGGAGTCTGTAAGGGGTGGGCGAATGCATTCGCTGGTATTGCCTACAGAGTCCGCTTTTTTAACAAGGACGTGTTTGACTACACAAAGGTGCCGGATGGATGCCTTTTGTGAGTGCGATTTCTTAAATGCTGGGATCCAAGTGTTTTCATCTAACCTTGTCTATCAGGCATGACGACGTTTACCTCTCTGGATTCATGCGATCTCGAGGGTTCCGTCCTTTGGTTATCGCTCCAGACTTTGAACCGATAGCTTACAATCTGGGGCACACCAACCAAAGCATTCACTCGGTAAACAACACCGAGTCTAACTATAGAGACCCATGCGCACGCTTCTTTAAATACTTGTCATAATTGTGATAAACATAAGCTTGACTGGTAATTAGCAGATAAAGCGCAAACTTTCATGATATCTGAGTGAGGTGGTCTTCGAAGTCTGTTAAAAAAGACCACACGTGATGAAATCACATCCCAATTTGTTGTTGAATGTCCACTTCCAAGCGTCCATTTGAAGAAGGGTTGTACGGACGTCATCCATCGCAGCTGCAAGGGCATGGTTACGATACAGCGGTGCACGCAAATGAGCCTATGGAGGTTCAGGTAGCGACAGCCGCCTCTCCAGTGACATTTTGGCCAAACGTGAAGAAGGTTCGGATGGAGGAGAACGCGGCCTACCCCCTGTCTGCACAAATGAATCAAGACTACCAACAAGGCATCTCAACGCAACAGGCACCACCATCATCGTCTCTCACTCCACCTGCGGAAGCAGAGGTACACTTCCACAACATCAACTCACACTATCGTAGTACCACATCACAACAAGTACGGAAAAGCTCTTCCGAACACGTAGCGACTCTCAGAATGGACGTAGACCGTCTCGAGAATGAAGTCTGCACTCTGAGGACATCGCAAAGCCAGATGCAGGGAACCATTGCTGAACTTCAAAGGGAATTGCGGGAGCTTCGAGAATGGATGGGATCTAGCAGGGTCACTGCACCCCAAGAAAGGCCAGTAGCTGATCTGGATCAGTTCCCAAATGGGACTGATATGGAGTATAGAGATGGATTTGAGAGCCCTCAGGCACTGGGCCAGCGGATAATGGTCCATCCCGATGCTCTCTGGTCCGTGCATGATTTTTGGGAGGGTTTTTAAGTTATCTTTACACATCTATTCAGACCATTGGCCTCTTGGCATCAACCGTCTATATGCATAATACTATTACCTTTGCGTATCCTATCCCTAAACGCTTTATTTGTATTGTTAAACGATGGCATAAAATTTCGCTCATGACGGACAATACCTCGTTGTTTCTCAGCATCCTCACTGACTTGCAAAAAAGCAAGTCTTCAAAGCCATCTGGTGATGGCATGAATTCATCTTCAAGGAATCCTAGTGGGATTGAACGCCGATGGCATCAACCACCATCAGACGTGTTTCTTCGCGAAGGATATGCCGTCGTAAGTAAGCGCCGGATTCAGTATTCACTAGCATTCATAGTACTCCCACTCTAAATGACTGCCTCGACAGCTCGTTCAAATTCGTCATCTTCAAATATTCATATCCAAAACGAGGACACTTTACCTTGACACACACAAGCATGTAAACACTCCCAACAGTCTGGACGATCTTGAAACCTTATCCACAGACAACTCCCCGCTTGCCATTCTTCACTCCATCCAGCGCAAACTCCAGGGCCTTCGAACTCTCAACGATGATCAGAGAAATCAAATCGACTTGACTGTTCGCACGTTTATTGAGGGACTTTTAAAACGCATAAAGGGTCTAGAATTGATAGCGTCAAAGAGGCCGCCAGTCGAGGCCGATAAGAAGAATTCGGGTTTTCTGGCCAAGCTTGGCTTCTTGGATTTGGTTTCAGGATCGCCCGCAGCAAGTCGATTGCATGAAGCCTTGATACTTGAGCACAAAAGGTCTATCATTTGGTTATTGCAGAAGCGGCTGATGGAGGCATCGGAGGAATTCCAAACCATGCAAACGACATGGTTAGACGTAAAGGTTAAAAGACAACTCCGGTACGATACTTCATATATACATTCGTTTCAATTATCCAATAGTAATTGATAAAGTCTCCTATTAGATTGACCATTCAGCCACCCAAGAAAGAAGCTACTTCTCCGGCGATGTCAGAGGGTCATATAAGTGGCATTTCGACGGCAATAAAGTCGACTGGGGCTGCGAGACTGATAGCGTCCGTCGGAAGGGTAGCGGCAGGAGCTATTACAGCAGCCACCTCAAGCCTTTCAACATCGGCAACATCGCCGTTTAGACCCCGTGACGATGGCAAAAGCCCCGGCGGCTGGGACGATTCGGATTCGGAAAATGAAGATAAAGTTGATCCAACTAAGCAAAGTAACAGAAGTGGAGGACAGTAAGGAATTCTTAGGAGTTCATGGGAAAGGGCAAACATTCGAATTGGAGTTGGATCAGGAAGACGATGATGAGTACCTGTCCGTCTTTCCAGAAGCACAAAGGAAACTTTTAGATCAGGAGCATGATCAATTAGCGATTGAATTTCAGAGCGGCATAGAACAAGTCAGGTAAGCATTAAGGATTGTCTGGTCATGGCAGCCATAACTAATCGTCTACTTTTAACTAATTAAAAGAAACGCAACACAGGCTATGCAGGACATTGCCAAACTGCATGAGCAGTTGGCTTTTCAACTTCAAGAGCAGGAGAAGACAATACAAAGGCTGCATGAGGAAGCGGTTGTGGCGAATCAGAATGTAGAGTCTGGAAACCTTTACCTTCAGCGTGCCCATAAGAATTTTGGGGACTCGCGTTTATGGCTTATCGTATTTTTCGCTGTTTCGACGGCCTCGCTCTTGTTTCTGGATTGGTTCTCCTCATAAAGGTGGAAACTATATGGGATTTGGAAACACGTGCGTCTTTGGCATTTGGTGACGCTTTGTTTGTTATATTAAAAGATGCATACGACACGCGGTTTTGAAAGGATTTTTGATCACTCTCTACATTTTACCTACGAAATTCCCGAAATATCGCGAGACCGGCTGTTTTACTTTTTTCGTTCCACAGTCTTCATCATAGCTTATAATTAGTAGTACACCTTCTTACTCAATTTATTCACATTGACACCTTCAAAAGTGCCGAGTTCCCGAGCTTACGTTAAAAACCGTATCGGAGGAATGTCAAATTGGGGGCGTGAGTAAGCGGTGTCGGGGTGGGACTAGCGAGGAGATTGCTAAGGGTGAAAGAGCACAGTTGCATTGGTGGCTGCATTGTCACGGACATACTAAGGCGTTATATAGGAAATAAATTGTTTTGATCGCGATGTTCTCGATTAATTGGTATAGTTTTGATACATCCCATCTTCATATCCTCTCTCGCCACGTCGGCGGCACATGATACTCCAGTTTAACCTACCAAGCCAGTAAATCAGCCCATATCATAATATCCTCATACCTTTCATTTACGCGTGCGTTGAAGAACCTTTAGCTTAACGCTAGGTGGTCATTTTCAAGGCTCAGGAAGCAATAAAATAGAATCTGAGTTATCTTTCCGATTTGTACTACTTTAAAAAGCGTTAGATTTGTCTATGCTTATTTGACGGTCACACCATCTTCCGCCCTTTTAACTCAGTGGTAGAGTGTCAGTCTTCTACTGGTCCGTGTGGCCGGCAAGGATAACTGAAAGTCGTGAGTTCGACCCTCACAAGGGGCTATAAACTTTTTAAAACGATTTTCTCTCTTTTTTACCTTCACCGCCATCCCAAGCTACTCTCTAAGACATATCGCCTATTACGGCAAAGAAGTCTTATAATACCAATGAGTCGAATCTATCACGTTTCAGGTTTCGCTTGCATGCACTGATTTTCAGCGGCCCTTGTGACTTGTGACGACTGATATTATCCGAACGTAAGTAACTGGACTGCAATGGCAACAGATTCTTGCTACAGACAGTGATGGTGGCAACACTGGTTGCCAATATTTATAGAAATGAACTGCAATTAAGTAAATGACATTAAATACGACACTTGGAAGGAACTTACTAAATTTCAAGAGCTAAAGAAATTGGACGGTAAACAAAACAAATTTATATCACTTTAAGTCGACTTCCATAGGGCAAAAATCATCATAATAAAAGTGTCTTTATTTCCGATTAGAGAAAGAGACTAGCCTTTTGTTTCAGAAGAAACGGTATAAAATCAGATACGTCACAGGGGAGAAGAGGGGAATGGGCTTAGCCGATGAGGTTTCAAATTGATCATAGCAGGATATTGGGGGGAAACGAATGCGTCAAGAAACGGTGACAAAGGAAATGGCGACTCGTAGAAAACCGAAAACCGGCATACAAGAAGAGCCAAGAATAAAAAGGGTAAAGAAAAGAGGTCAATTGGTTGTTAATCCTTTAGCAAGATAAAGGGCGATCAGCGGGGGAGCGAAGCTTGGAGACCAGCAACATTCACAAAGACCTGGTCCATCTGACCACCAATAAGGTCTTGAAGTGCAATGATCTTGAGGTGATCAACGCCTTCAAGAGTTTGAAGGAAGTTGAACCTTCCCTTTGGCGGCAAGGCCTTGGCAGCTCTAGCGCCGGCAACTTCCGAGTTTGAAGCGCGGAGGTTGAGGGAGTAAGAGTTGAAGCCAGAGTTGTCGCCTTGGGCAGAAACGACATTGACGAGACCGTCGTTGGGCCTCCACGAGCGGCTATCATCGCCGAGAAGAGTGCGATTGGTGTAGGAGCCAACAATGTTGGTAGTGGGTTGTAGAAAGATAAGAGTGTCGGGTCTGGCAAAGTAGTTGCCGAGGAACTCATAGGTCGCGTCACCGGTGAAAGAGAAGTAGTACGTGTCGGCAGAGTTACGAACGCTGATTAATTAAAGAGTCTAAGTTAGAGACGTGTATGAAGAACAAAAACTCTAGAATGTAGGATCCTTAGATTACTCACAATGAAAGAAGAGGGTTCCTTGTTGCTATATAAAGAATGATTGCATGGTAAGAAAAGTTGTGCTTTACGTTACGAATAAGGAAAATATCTAGAACCAAGGGAAAGTACATACCAGCAACTGTGAGATCAAAAAGAGCATTTGATGGTAACCTGAACCAAGGCGAAGAGCAGATACGCCTAACAAAGTCATCGACGCCTTCTCCGCTTCTCGGGTTCAATCCCCAGTGACCAAGCTGGAAGTCCCAAAGGTCGATGCCGGAGTTGTTGACGCCAACAAGAAGTTTAATAAGACTAAGGAGGAAGTCGACGGCAAGATCGTTGCTGTTGAGGTAGTCGTCGAAAGTGCTTCCACGGAGAACGCCGCTGTAATATGACATTCAGACGTCAGCCAATGGGTACAGAAACAATTTAGAACAAAATACTCACGCTACAGTGGTGGCAGAGTGAATGTAGCTGGAAGTCTTGTTTGTATAGAAAAGGGGAGACACGGGGACGCCGGCAGCAACACTGGCGGCCACTTCCTCAGCCGAGCCATAGGCCATAAGATGGGCAATCATGCGGCTGGTGGGTCCGCCCATCGGAGTGACCGATAAGGTTGATCTTGTTATCAGGAGCTTTAGTCCAGGCAGGATAGAGTCCTTTGCCGGTAAAGTCTTTTCCAAAACGTGCGTGGCCAAACTTTTTGGAGCGAGCGATGCCATAGTCAACTGAAAAGATGAAATAAGATGTCAGTTGAGTGAACGATTGGGCTCTTTTCTGTGAAGATACACATACCTCTCGTGCCCATAATCTGTGCGTACAGCTCGCATGCACGCCTGTGAAGGAAAAAGAAAGGTTTCAATTCAAGTTTGGAAAGAAATACTAAGCATGGCCACTCACTCCCAGTTTGAAGAAATAGGGCCCATGGCAGGCTGGTGAACGGTGTATCCAAGGTCGCGCATTCGTCCAACGATGTCGCTTGTCAACCCACCCCAATACTTTAACAGGCCAAGAAGAGGCTGGACAAAAGGAGTAGTTGTTAGTTAAACATTCTCACAAGTACCGTTTTGCAAAACAAGCATGGATGCAAAGCAATGCTCACCTTCTCTCCCCATCCAAAGAGTCCATGAACCATCACAATTGGATAGTTGTTACCAGCAGAGTTCCAGTTAGAAGCAAATGGTCTCATCTGGAAGGGAGAACTGCCGCCACGAGCCTCAAGGTTCACGACGGGGGCCGAGAATACCGAAACGGCAAACACCGCCAAGACGGCGATGTATTTAGAAGCAGAGAATCGCATTATATATGTGTTATATGAGGTTTAGAAGATGAATGTGGGGTATGAAGAGGTATTGCTCGGGTTGGCGTCGGTAGAGTCAACCTTTGCTATAATTCCATGAAGCTTGTATGGCTGCATTTTATACTTTTTCTACACGGCTTAATACTCCCGATGCAGGAGTCCATGACGAGAGTCAAGCTGTGGAGTATTATCAATCGCATCTTTTGTCTTTCATTTTAGGCTCGCTGGATGCCGATGAGCCTACGCCATTTACTAATGTTTATCCTCCGCACAAGGAAGAGGAGGTGGGTTTTTAGGGTCAGATGGTGTCGTGTGTAGGGGAAAAGAAGGTGCGTGAGGCCATGTGAGGACAGAGTTATTGAATTTAACCACCGCCTGATATTAGACCTTCCCAATTATCACAAATTCATAATGCCCAGCGTGCAGCCCTGGTCCGAGGAAATGCACGAATGTGGATATACAAAAACCCCCAAACAAACAAGTAAACAAACAAAGAGATAAGCGATGGGTATAGATCCCACCACCCCTGAGTTTTCAAATCAGTAACTTTATCGTGGAGGAGAGACGTTCATTCGCGCTGCGTGACTTGGTCCCCCGCCGACTGTCTGACCTTCGCGTTGGTCAGCGGAGTTGGAAAATTGGAAAGTAAAAATTTGACATGAAAAAAACGCATGGTGCTGGTGGTCGTGGAAAGGCCGAAAGGGTGAGTGTAACGTCCACGTGGTGAAAGGAAGTGACAGCCCATCAAAGAAACAGTTTCCGGAGAAACGCATTAGCTCAAGCAATCAGTAATTCAGCATTGGGTAAAATAATGGAGTGGCCGAGTGGGCTCACGTATGGAGATTATGATTGGCCAGTCTCATTAAAAAAATACTATAAAATGTCTTTTTTATTAGTTTTCTAATGAAGAAAGGGGATCAAGTCTAAATGCTTCCTTGCTTGGAATAGATTGAAGGCAGGACGATGACCTCATTCAAGCATCCAAGCGGAAACAAAGAGTTGCTCCCCTAATCCCTCTACTTGAGCTTAGCCATCAACTCTTCAATCTCCTTAAGGACAGCTGCCTCGGCATCAATCTTCTGCAGCTGGGTGAGTTCCAGTTTCTCTCCCTTAGCCCTCCTTTCCTTAAGCTCATGAATGGATTTGAGCTTCTTGTTGGTGACCTTGAGCCTTTTCTCAATCTCAAGGGACTTGGCGCCATCGTCTGTGGGAATAAAGGCAGGGAGTACTGCGGGTGTTGATGGCTTGGATGTCGCGGCGGCATCGTCCTCTCCCTTTTTCCCTCGTTTCTTTTGGTTCTTCTGTGCGTTTCTTGAGAGGTTCTTGTCTTCCGCTGCAGACTCATTGTTTCCATTACCGCTACTTCCAAAGATTTGTTCTCTTTGCTAAAAAAAGGTAGTTTATTAGTCAGCAAAGATAAATGGGGACTCAATTCAGTTCCATCACTTACCAAAAACATTGATGGTGTAGAAGTTCCACGGGCTCCAGGGGGCCTGTAAACACCCTTTGGCTTCGCAGGGGTTTCGACGGCCTGAACGCTCGGACTAGGTGGTGGGGTCAAAGCCTTCTTCTTCGGCCAAAGTTCCGACTTATCGTGTCTCCAAGACACCTGGTACATCTCCTTCACATCATCTTGTGTGCAAGGACACCTGAGTAATGCCAAAAACGAATACCATTATCCACTTTTAACCGCTTATAAAGAGTCGCTGTCATGATGTAACGACCGTCGGGCGACCATTCGCAAGTGCTGAATTGGAAGCGTGAACACTGGCCAGCTTTGTAAAGTTCATTCTGTCCCACACGTCCATGTCTCCTGCCAAGTTTCCGAATCCAGCAACTATGATAAACGACCGTGAGGTGAGTACTTGACGAAATTGCGAGGAGCTGAGGGGAACTCAAAGAGTGTCTCGGCGCGGTGATCGAACATGGTGGCTTTGGACGGCATGGCTCCATGAACCACAATAAACTCTTTTGAGTTTGGGCTCCAGTCCACGGCGTGAATTGGACCATCACCGACACCCACTTGAGATTCAAACGAGCCAGATGTAGACAAGAAATGAAGGGATGATTTTCCATAATAAGACTGTCCAGTCTTGTCCACTTCCACATGAGTAAGCACGAGCACTGCACTGCCTGTTGAAGCAATATTGGGATATTCATGTAAATACCTCAAAACCTAAATAAAGAAGAAGAGAAGAAGAAGGAAAGAGCAAGATACCTTCGGCATTCCAGTGGAAATCAACATAGTCCGCATTGAAAAATGACCTTTGAGCGATAGGGGCAGAATCTGCCTTGCTCGCATCATACAAACGCACAGATGCTGGCGCTCCCTTTTTTCTCGGGAATAAAGACGGCAATGATAGGACTAATACCATTCGGCGACAAGCTAAAGCTTCCAAGGTTCTCAACTTTCAAACGGGCCGTCACAGTACTTCCTTCCCTCAAAGTCTTCACGTCAAACAAATGAACTTCTCCGGTCACATTGCGTGCCATG